ATTCCCAATCAGATGGGATCAAATATCTATCTGCAGGGATTGCAGCAATTCTCCCAAGCAGACAGAAGGTTAACAGTCACAAACTGAACTACGCCGTGACCTTGAGCTTAGTCAAACACAACCTTACTGTCAATGGTCCGGCAACACGCAATAGAAAATTAGGTAACAAAAATAAGTCTTTAATCAAAATCACATAATAAAGGCTCAAACGGTGAAGACTGAAGAACAAAAGACATGGTTAAACGAGATCGAAACAAAGGTTGGAATACACAAAAGGGAGAAGGAACAAATAAATGAAAATACTGTTCAACAAAGAAGCTGCAGAGGGATTTTCACTGTTCTCTTTCCGTTACACCGGCCCCCCAAATCCCTCCAGCTTCGCAAAGACACCTTAGAATACATTTCTATCATGGCTCTCCTTACTAACTGCTCTATATCAATGGGAGGCACAGGACTTACAACAGTACGCCTGTACATCCATAAACTTAAGCTACAATCTACAATTACTCGGCTCCCTCTAGAAGGCAGAGCTTTCGCACATCTCTTCTTACTACACCTTCTCTCATTCGCACCATCACTGTTCTTACCAATCAACCTCTATCTATCTAGCACTTATCAACCCGTCCCATTGGCCATGAACCCCGAGTAGTTGCATCGTTAGCCACTAGAACTACATCACCTTCTTTTAAGTTTCTGTGTTTGCAAAACCATTTCTGCCTCACTTGCAGCAAAGGAATGTACTCTTTTATCCATCGACGCCAGAAGGTATTGGCTAAACAATTTACCTGTCTCCATCGCTTTGAATACCTATCCGTAACACTACACTCCATTCCTAAACCATCACAGTCTCTTAGTAATAACAAAGTGTTTGGCGTGAGCGCCAAATCATCCTTTTCATCTGACGTCACAGGAACGATTGAGCGGTTGTTTAAAATTCGTTCTACCTCCACAAAATAAGTTGCCAAACTATCATCGTGTAATATTTGCCCGTTGGAAATATATAGTAAGATCCTCCGAACAGACCGTATTAATCTCTCCCAAACTCCGCCTCGATGGCTAGCTAGTGGGGGGTTGAAATGCTAGCGTATACCCTTCGATACTGTTAAGTCGTTTATTCTATGCTTGTCCCACACACTCATATTAGCCCATAATTCGGAAGTAGCCCCGACAAAGTTAGTTCCATTGTCGCTGTAGATTTCCTTAGGAGTTCCTCTCCTTCCCATGAAACGTATTAAAGCCATTATAAAAGCATCAGTACTCAAATTGAAAGCTACTTCCAAATGTACGGCACGTGTTTGGAGACACGTAAATAGGCATCCATATCGTTTTTCCTCACTTCTTCCTCGACGCACTATCAGCGGTCCAAAATAGTCTATCCCGACGGAGGAGAAGCAAAACCAGCCTTGCTGCACTCGACACTTGAGGAGAGGTGCCATCATCTGTTGGCCTAATGTGGCTTTCGCGCGTATACACCTCACACATCTACCTATCACTCGTTTAACTGCACTGGTTCCTCTAACAATCCCATAATTTCGTCGTATGTTAGCTAACACTTGTGATGTCCCGGTGTGACCTAGGTGGTGATGGTGTCTAATAATAAGTTCTGTTACGAAGTGATGACTGGGTAAAATTACCGGATGTCTGATTGAGAGTGGATAATCCGAGTAATTTAATCGTCCGCCGACACAAAGCAATCCATCGATTAGCGTAGGTGAAAGATTTTTTAGCTCTTTTATATCAGTTGCGCTTACGCCATTGCATCGAGACACTTTTACTGCTTCCCCATACGCTTCCTTTTGCACTAAGGCTAATACCTTGTGTTTAGCTGCATCTAATTCATCAACTGACAGATAGCCCACACTTAAGGACCTGTCATTGTGACGGGAGTACATGATGGTTATATAGGTCACGTATCTTCTGAGCCATGCTACCGCTTTAATCAGCTTTATCCATTTTGAGTGATATAGCAGAATTGGACTTAAGCTATGTTTTTTCGCAACTGCGTTGGTCGTGTGACATCTTTTAAATTCAACATTTTCTGGGGGGTTTTCACACATAAGCGTTAGTGTTCCTACAGACTCCCTCTTCCTCAAGAATGAAGGACCCTCAATCCAGTTATTTAAATCTAGCTCCTTCCGTATGCCTCGTGATGTCCAGTCAGCAGGATTTTCATTGGATTCTACGTGCCCCCACTGGTCCACAGATGTTAAATGACGAATAGTGGCCAGACGACTAGTCACGAAGGTGGAATACCTACTATCTGTATTTTTTATATAGTACAGTACTGTCACAGAATCCATCGAGAAGTGAGTCTTGTCAAACACATGAAGAAGGTTCTTATTTAAAACTTCCCCCATTCTAGCACTCAATACTGCCGCTGTTAGTTCCAGTCTAGGCACAGTTACCTGTTTTATAGGTGCCACTCTAGACTTACTATAGAGTAGAACGATGTCCGGTGGTTTGCGCCTGAGTATGTTCCACGAATGGACAGAGGAACTGCAACCTGTCTTAGTCAGGATCTTCATCTTAAAGTCGGCAAGAACACTACCAGCAAAGTCCAATCGCAAAACAGTATAAGGCAACGCATAATCTTCATAAATCGGAACTGTGTGGGTCACACCGTCACCTAAGTCCAACACCATACCAGTTGTACGATCAGGTGTACATAGTGACAACACCGTTTGAGTAGCAGCACACGTACCTGGTGTATTAAAAGTCTCACACATGATCCTTGTCATCTCACGGTTTGCCTTCGGGTTCAATGAAACTTCTCTCAACAACCCCGGATGTTTCTCTGTTGCCACTCGCAACCCTTTGTAGAATGTGTGGCACCACATCTTCTGGCTAGGGAAGCGATTAAAGTGTGCCAAATCGGGAGTTTCCTGAAAGACTTTTTGTGTCGGTTGGTTTGGAGTTCGGGAAATTGCAAGGTTTTCTGTGATTTCGAGATTTGCCGTAGTGATTATTACACTAGCATCAATGGGATTTATCTGTCTCTCATGGTATAGCAAAAGATCTTCGCCGTGACGAGCTTAATTGGGGAGTTTGAAAGCGTCTATGATCACAATGATTATCCAGATATTAATTAAATGTGACAGAGGTCTGTGACTTTGTTTTGTGCTGTTTCAGGTTCTCCTCTGACAGAATAAACCTCGTTGTTCGGGGTTCTGGTGACCTCCAGAATCTGATCAGTATATGCAGCTAGTTCGTCTACGGTGTTATTTTGAAATGGGACGAGGGCTGCCAGCACCTCTCGGGGAGCTTTGTCATGAAGAGCTGTTTAAACAAGCCCTCGTCAAAGGTCTGTCGACAAATGGACTTTTTGTGCCTGAGGGTAGCCCTTGTTATACTGATAGAAGAAACCAAACTAGTGGTGAATAGGTCTCTATTATGATCGTGCGACATTCACAGTGGAGCGGCAGGTTGCCTGTTCGAACACACAAAGCTTTCCAACATTCAATACCAGGTTATTAAAAATATAGTGTCTATACGAGGTAAGTAAGTGAATCAGTGCTTGAGCTCTATTGTTTTGACATATACTTAGTTATTGGTGGTCAATTCTTAATTAATCAACCTCAACTGTTACAAACTATTATTGGTAGCAGCATTTCTGTCTCTGGGACATGTTGCAAATCAATGTTGTGGAAGAGCTTGTCTAATCTTCGTCCGTCGGTTAAGTGTCCATGTTTAAGTATAGCTCTTTTTAGAGTTTCATATGGTTTCATGAAATCACTAGTGATGTCACTAGTGGGAGTCAGCATCTGTGTAGTAGAACCAGGCTTCTATATTATTGGGGCGAAATGGCATTAGCTGGGGTGAGGGATGCGAATGAGGTTTAATCCTTAGTAACTTAGGTGTCCGTTCCATCAAGATGATGATATATTTGGAGGCTATCGACATTTTGGGGAGCGTTTAATCTAAGCTGGCTAACGGTTGTAAGAGGTGCGTAGCATTGCGTACTCACTCATGATCTGGTGCCGATGCTTAACCGAGTATGTCCAGTTAGATGTATCCATGAAAACTAACGAGGTCAGCATTAAATGTCAAAGACTTGCAGAGCTATCTACTTTGGGGATTTATTTACTAACACACTATTTTAGTAACATTCTTAACTTTTTGATAGCTAGTCAGTATGCGAGTGTTAATACATAACACTATACAGAAATCGAACTATCTGATAAGTCATTAACCTAATCGACCTGAGCGTTGCGGTGTGATTATCCTTTTCCTTTGACAGCGAAAAGACTAGATAATGAAACGACAATACGTACAAGAGGCGGTCAAGTACACCATATAATAATGCTGAGCGTGATATATGAAGCAGTTCTATTCAGATTTGTGCGAAAAATACTTTAATGATCAGAAACAGACTGAGGCTCGAGTCAGAAAAGTTGAATACATATGGATGCATTATCTTGGATCTCTAATGGTGCACTCAATAATCCATAAAGCAATAACCATCTTCCAACACCAAATGAGACTATCACATTGTTTTACATGGCACCAACTGGTCATTTTGCATTGGTCATCCTTGAGTCTAATGAAAGTTCCTTTATTTCATCGATACCATCAGCCGATTAACATTATACCATCACTGAAAACCTGGAAGTACTGGACGGTTGTTTCATTCTTGTATGGGACTCACTGGTTATGAGTACCCACGATTCCGCGCACGGATTTCGAATGCGAAAACTTCGGTCTCACACAAACGCTAAACCCCTGGACGGTCGTCCAGGTTTTTAATATTGGTTTATATTGATCGGTTCATGATCCCAATGAAATTCAACAAATCCCACAACACCGAAATGAAAATTTTACTAGATAAATTATGCAAACCTTGGCATGTGTCGGCCAAGTGATAACAAAATAAGCTTTTTCACCATCCTGTCTACTGATTATTTCCGAATATTTTTGAAAAGTTACAGATCTAGAAACCTTGCTTTAAATAAATAATTACTGTGTCGAACGCACCAATAATTTGAGAGATGCTTGACCTTCAAGTGCAACCACCTCCATGAGGTCTTTTGGTAACAACAACAGCTGATTGCAGTAACATAGTTTTCAAGTCCCCATATACTCACAATCTTTTGTGTATAAAGTAGCATCTGAACAGCTCAGTCAAAATGAGCGATGATAATTCAGTTTTGGAAAAGTTTGTATCAGAGGTATGGTTTGCTATTGTTTCCTTAATGGTCATTACAAAGAACGATTGCAACTTTGATATCGACAATGTTGATTTTAAAACGAAGGAGGTAACTAGTGGATTTGTATTACTTTTTCTAGGAAATATTGCAAGAATGCCGTAAAAAGTTTGAGGACCATACCGTTTCTGGATTGCATACTTGTCTTTGTTGTTTGCGAATATTGACGCGCGACAATATCCTGCGGAAGGAACTTACATCCGAGTTTTTTTTATCCCAACTCTTCAAATATGCCTTCGAATATAACTACAACCTTGAGTATTCTAAAACTAGTCTAGAAGCTCTAAAATCTCTTTCCAATATTGTATTTAAAGAGCCATGTGTCATAGGACCACTTAAGTCAGTCGTACCTCTGTATTTTAACTGTTTAGGACCATGGGTTTCATTAAAAATGTGCTAGAAAGTGTGGATATCCTCATTGAAACTGAAGATAATGAGAAGCTCCTGTTATGTCTTAAGCTTCTTTTTCTTGTTACCGCTCTGGATTCAGCTTCAAGGTATTGTAATATTTAAATCACATAGAATTTAGACAAGAACTAATGGAATCGAACGCTCTGCGAATGCTTGTGAGAGTCGTGAATATGAAAAGATCAAACATAACCGATTCGAATGTTTCAGCAGAAGCACTTAAAGTTGTATATAACGTACTCTACTCAACTAGAGACGAATATATAACTAAAGAGGTTTCAAAATATTTTGCTAATTGATGTGCTAGTTAGGTGATGACATACAGAATCTGGTGGTAATGTTGAGGTGCATTTTACAAGATCCAGTATTGGATGAATTCACTAATTATGCTTTGGTCAGGTAAGTAGTTACGTATTTTACACATGTAGGCATTAAAAGTTAAAAGTGAGCAGTTACCATGTTTATTTTAACTGGGAGTTTTCGTCAGATAAGTTTGGAACTTCAAATCTTGAATAAGTTGATAGTTAGGATACTTATTTTTGTAATGTTCTTGTGACCATTTCTAAACACTAGAGAACATACAAGCTCTCTTACGTCCTCGGTAATGCGAGTCAAATGTTGTCCATGTTAGACATATACAAATGCGCCCATCTGGATATCAGTATAGAAAATGATCTGGTGTGTAGTGTTTATCGTTCGTCTCACTTAAATCTGTCAAACAGGAAACTGCATAGTTTTATGATACATATAGAAACCAATACCGATAAGCAACCTCAATTATAGTGAGTTTTTAAAATGTGTTTCTTACCTGCAAGGTGTCAAAGTTACTTTTTGACTTAAGTTACGTTGCTCTTGTTATTAATGCTAAGCATAGACGTGGGTAGTAGCTTTTCCTCAGATAGCTGTACGCGGTCTAATTGAAATGAAATAAAACTACTCAACTGAACGTCACAACCTATAAACTGTTATAGAAAACAAGTACAGCAGTTCACACATATTCTTCTGTTCACCTCGAGAATATTGTTGATAAATCTTTCGTTGAAGCTAATACAATATGATTATCGAGATTTCAACGCTAAAAAACCTTAAAATTTATTGTAGCTGCTCAGAACTATCAAAATTTTTTCTATATAACTGCAACTTCTTGTCTTTTGTTTCGGTGTTGTATTTTTAGCAATCGTATTTCTAAAAATATCCGATTTCTTATTTTGAACTTTGGTATATTTTTATGATCTGTAATCAAATTGGTATCACTATCTTAAAAACACGAACTTTGATGATCTGAATACTTTCTACAGGCTTCCACATCGTGCACCGTATGCAGACTCGGGAACTAGGTGGAAAGATGAAAGAGGAGTTCAGTTTATGACACAACTTCGTGACATACAAGATATCTAATGATATTTTTGGTTTATTACGACTCCCCCCACTTAGGATCGTAGACACTGGGTAATTCAGTGGCTGGAATTGTCATCAGAATAGAAACCACTAGAGGCCCTGGCGTAGTTTCGTTAAACTTAATTAAAATAAACTTTTGTTACCAATGGAATCTTGGCTGACTCGTGCCTTGTGTTAAATACTATCTGTTTATTGATTCTACCACTCTTTGTCGCCACAATATTATCGCTTCATCTGTGTGGTGCATTTTCTGTTGACCAGTTGTACCATAATTTACGTGCTTATAATGAAAAAGAATTTACTCCTAGGATGGTAAGATTATTGTCTTACATATAGTTTTCTTTTTGAAGACTGGTATTTCACACCGAACTAAAAAAGTGTGGTTTGTACGACATCTCTATAAGCATTATTAACCACATATATAAACCAAGTTATTTTATTTTGATATTCAGAGAGTGAAATATCTTATCACTCAAGTAAAACATTTCAGTTTTGTTTGTCTTCACATAACTGACCGGGATAAAACCATCTAGGTGTCGAGTTATGATTAATAAATGTTATTGGTTCTTATGGCTCCCAAAATGCCCTGGTATAGCCGGGAGTGGAGTGGGCCCGCCCTTCCTCTCGAAATGCGTATGAACCAATTTATGGTCACCGACTACCATGGGACTGCATCTCTTCGCGATGCCCCACTGCCTTGTGGGTCAGACCTTTAGATCAAAGGCTCGGGGTGTAGCACCTTAAGAAAACCACCTGCTTTGGTTTGGGCACCCAGGCAGTATCACAGCCCTCTTGTACCAATATTTATGTGTTCAAATAAGTAAAAAAAATTGGTTCTTATTTTTGTTCTCGTCTTTCTTTCAGCCAGGTGGTCAACGTATTGAACATCATTCCGAAACATTTATACAAATACCTTTTAGATGAAAATTCTAGAGATCATGTCACTGATAGCTCAATCAAAGATTCGGCTTCAGAAAACAAAACAAATGTGATGTCTACAATTGAAATTTTGATAGCCTTTCTTCACTCACAGCTTAAGTTGGTACGTCTTCTCCCATACACTTTTTTACAACGTCCCCTCATAGTTATTCAGTTGGCTTCTTAAAGTGTTATATATCTACAAGTCTTGTTAATTTAAAATAACGTCCTTTAAGATTATGTCAGTCTCTTATATTCGTATATAAACGACAAGTGCTGAAAAGTAAAGTACTTTCAAAGGTAAAGGATAGAGGATTACTATGTTAATCGTTTCCCGACCGAAGCTGCTACCTTGACGCGGTGGTCGGGCTTGCCTATCGTGATGACCCAACCGAGCTATATTGCCTGGAACATATGTTCCTGCAGGTTCTACCATGCCAGGCAGGTCGATTGGAGAACGGTAAGACTAAAAGCAGCAACTCAAGGTCTGAGGGCGAAGTCGTACTGCTGACTGTAGAGGGCTGTGACAGCAGTAAGGTGTTTCCCTCGGACAACCAGCATGACAGCGATGCTGCCTTCCCACAAGGAGGGGTGGGGTTAGAAAAGGTCGACCCTAAAAATGTCACACCTCACCTTACCTCACGGATTTCCGTCTCCGGCGGTAAGGCCCTTTGAAGAACGGAGCTAACACGTCAAAAACCTTCCACGAAAAGGCCGTGCGCAACCGGCTTCAAGCAGATGTCCCTTGGGCTCTGCGGTCACGCTCCCAGGTCGTCAAGACCAACACTGATCCAATTTCCTTTTCTGGTTACTCAAGAAATACCCTTCCACGGTGTGGGCAGCCGGGAAGTGACATCAGACCTCATACCCGTAACAGCACAAGAGACCAAGGTGGTCACATTCAAATCCTTTCTAACACCTCCTAATACCTCTCTTATCTCCCCGACTAACCCTCCCCACGTCTCTTTATCACCTCGCACCGCTAGGGCAAACGATTCGAGTACGTGGAACGCCATTCCTGGTCTCCTGAAACCACGCTCTAAACTACACGTAGGAGCTTTTAACGTCCGAACACTGTGCCAAATAGGACAGCAGGCTTCCTTAGCTAAAACTTTAGAATCTCGCGCCATCGATGTGTGCTGCGTCTCCGAAACGCGCATACAGGATCCGAGTGGCGTCATTCATTTGACCTCACCATGCCAAAATAAAGAACCGACTCGACTTACGCTTCGTGTATCTGGAAGCCCTGATTCTGCTTCCCGTGGCCTCGCCGGCGTAGGTAATAGCATTGAGTCCTAGGGCAAAACTAGCTCTCTTAGAGTGGATCCCAGTAGACAGTCGTTTGTGCGCTGTCCGACTGAACGGAACAATAAGGATCCGGAAAGATAGGGACACTCGTCGTTGCCTCTTCGTCGTCTCTGCCTATTCTCCCACTGACCGCAGCTCAGATGATGTAAAAGATGAGTTTTACAGAAAGCTCTCCGACCTTCTCCGAAAAGCTAGGCGCTCTGATGTAGTAATAGTGGCCGGTGACTTTAATGCTCAAGTAGGTAAACTAAGCGATAGGGAAAGACACCTGGGTGGATCTTATAGCATCGTGGCTCAAAGAACAGATAATGGCGACCGTCTGTTGCAGCTATGCTCAGATAACCGCCTGTTCCTTGCAAATACTAACTTTAAGCATAAGGAAAAACATCTTTTAACATGGCGACCCCCTAATTCGTCCCAACGTTGGACCCAAATAGATCACATCGCTATGAGCCACCGATGGAGGGGCTCGATAGAAGACTGTCGCTCATTCTGGAGCACATGCCTAGATTCAGATCATGCTCTAGTGCGAGCACGTATTTGCTTGCGTCTAACTGGACGTAGGAAAGACGCTGCAAGGAAACCTCTTAGGGTCCTACTTAATGATAGTCAAGCTAAGAATATGTTATGTTTGGGGTTTCCCCACGTGGGTTCGAATCCCATCCCCGTCGCCAAATTGTTGTGTTTGAAACTTCACGAGTTCACTTAAACTGCGAACGAGAACAATACTCAGTGACCAAAGACCAGTGATCTAACTATTGACGCTTCCCAGCCCCGCTATCTAGAAGAATAAGTCCAGGCTTGGTATGGAAAATATATTCTGCAACAGCCAGAAGCGAGCAAGCAAGCAAGCCAAGTGTAACGCGAAACTACTGCCGGTCCCATGGCCACAGCCTGAGTATCCCTGGTCCAGGATACATGTCGATTTCGCAGGCCCAATTAATGGAATCACCTATCTAGTCGTTGTTGACGCCTTTTCGAAATGGCTAGAAATCGTCCCCAACAGAATATATTTCAGGAACAACTAGGAAAACAGTTAGGCAGCCATGTATGTGATGCCCACCCCGATGCAGCATGGAACGATATCCGAAAAGCTGTGGAAACAGCAGTGATATCTGCTAGTAAGGTAAACCAGATGGTTAGGGAGCAACACTGGATCTCGACAACATCTATCGCACTGATAGATGCTCGGAAACTCATTCCACCTGGCTCTGAACATAATGAAAAGCGGAGTCAGCTTAAGCGCAAGCTGACAAGAAGTCTACGCAATGATCGCGAACAGTGGTGGGTAGCGAAAGCAAGAGAGATGGAAAAGGCAGCGGCAATAGGTAATAGCAGACAATTGTTCAGACTCGTTAAGGAAACCGGAATTAGGAACCCGACCGTTAGCGAAACAATCTCAGAGAAAGATGAACATATTATTCATTCTCAATCCAGGAGATTGGATCGATGGGCAGAACACTTTAGGGATCAGTTCAACTGGCCTTCAGCCACACTTCGGTTTCCCACGATCTCCAGTCGACCTGAATGGCAAGTTAATGTAGGTCCTCCGTCCCTTTACGAAGTTGAAAAAGCCATAGGAAATCTGAAACGAGGGAGAGCAGCAGGCCCTGACAGGTTTACTCCTGAGATTTTTAAGGATGTTGGTTTAGTATTAGCAGTGAGATTAACTGAGGTCTTAGGTAGAATTTGGGAACTGGACGTAATCCCATCTGACTGGTCTCAATCACTGATTGTGCCAGTCTATAAGAAAGGACAAAAGTCCTCTTGTGACAATCACAGAGGAATCAGTTTGACCAATATAGTGTCTAAAATATTAACTTCAATAATACTTCGACGCCTAATCAAAGCTCGTGAAGAGCAGATTAGAGAAAACCAGGCCGGTTTTCGACCTGGACGTGGTTGTATAGATCAGATATTCACACTGCGTCAGGTTCTAGAACACAGAAACACATTCAGACGCCCCACAATGGTAGTATTTCTCGACCTCAAGGCGGCATTCGACTCTGTTGATCGTGAGGTTCTATGGCAGTGTTTGTCACTGAAAGGAGTACCAAAGAAGTACATTAACCTTATAAAGGCTCTCTACTCGAACACAACTGGTAGAGTGAGAGCTTATGGCGAACTGTCATCAGAATTGATTACCTCAAGTGGTGTTCGTCAGGGCTGTCCACTCTCCCCATTCTTGTTTAACTTTGTGGTCGACTGAGTCATGTTGGTAGGTGTAGACTACCTGGTTGGGGACCGCGAGATGACAGCAACCGATGGTTAGAGACCTTGAATGACATTGCTCAAAATCGTTTGCAATGGCGCAGGTGCATCCACTCTTTGTGTTCTCCCAAATTCTAATCTTCTGAATTCTTCATGTCCCTTTCGTTTTTTCTCTTTCCAAATATATTTCACTGTATTATACTCTTTAAATAACATCTCCAAACACTAATTTTCCCGATTACTGCTTATACTTTTATTACCTCTACCATTACGGGATTTGAGTCGACCACAGCATCTCTGTGCTAATGTGGTGTGGCAACTCGAACTGATGTACGTACGTACGAAGTTCTACGTTGGGACTGACTGATGTTAATCGTTTTGTATTACGTGAACTAAATAAATTATTCACACTTAGTATAACATTTCCAGTTCCTTGTAATTACATTTTAGGATGCTCGTAAGGAATCCGAAACTGCTAACGATATACGAACTGATGAAAGGATTTGTCCGATTTTGAACTGTCTTACGCGAGCAAGTAAATCAAATCGTCAGATCAGAAAATTTTGTCGCTTAAGGGTGAGTTAAAATTTGAGCCAAGTGATTAATGGATAACTGTTAATTATTTTTAACTTCCTTGATATGCGTTCTATAAATAAACAATCTGATCAATAAATATTTTTTTAAACAACTACCTTAAATACTATTATGTTTATGGAAATAGTTGTCTAAACCGAATTATAACAATTAATGTCAAAATGGGAGTTATAAACTACTGTTCACTAAGTTTTGTTCCTTCTCCTATCAACCATAAATCATCTGTTTATTTGTGTACATAGATTTCACAACCCACTACCGTTGATAATTATTACATAAACCTCATATGTATGCGATCGAATACTTTGGATTATTTTTATCAGTTGGGTCGTACACTAATTGTGACTTTTTTCACTGTACATTGAAAATGATTTTAGTTCATATGAATATGATAAGCGCTTTAATAAATAAAGTGACTCAGTTGCCTTGTTCATTAGTGACCACCGGGGATGTTTAGATGATGAAACATCAGTTCGTTTATAATTCTCTAATATTGTATGAAATGACACTTAAAGTTGTTGTTGGGCAAATGAAATTGACGTTTTAAAAGGGATCATTTTGTTGATACATCAAATTACCATTCTACGAAACTTACACGTTGCTTTCATAAATTTGCGTTTGTCGCACTTAAAGTTAATATAAAATTCCTTAGTTAACATCTGTAAACAGCCTTCTATAAGCTTTTCGATAACTCAGAATCTCTGACAAATATACACGAACCATTGTCAGCATTTAGTTGAAACAAGAAAGCAAGTTGCAGTATTCGTATTTGGAAAATAAATGGCCCAAACGTTTGAAAAACGGACATTTCGGTTTTATGTAAAAATCGAAACTAAGTGCAATCAGTCTCACTAAATTTATAGCAATCCACCTTCATCTTTTTCATTTAGGTACTACCTTACCTGGGTAAGGATGTTAAACGCCTACCAGAAGATGGCGATAATATAAGAAATTAGTAAGTATCGAAATGCTTTATTTGTTCTGAACTTGACGGCTATTATTATTTGCACTAGTATTTTAAAAATTTCGGCTTTCAAAGCTTTATGCATATAAAATGAAATATCCAGCGTGTATTTCGACCCATACGTTTTTAGCTGGACATTAACGTGTAGGTTTTTACAAAATAAGGTCTCCGAATAGTGGTATCGATTAGCATGTACACAAACAGAAATGAGTACCGCGTGATAATTCTGAAAAATATGCTAATGACAAACCCAATTATAAGTATAAAAACAAATTTTATCCAATAACGCTTTTTGTTGACCGCACATCATTTACCAAATGCGCAACATATTTAGCTGCTAATCTCACACTTTAGGTAGACAAAACCAGTTCATTACCTGCCTAGCTATAGATCAACAAATTAAGTAATTAAATTCATTTCAAATTGTGTCAATACGTACGAGCTTATAACACAACACTATTAATTAAACAAGTAAGATCATGGAGATGTACTAGATTTTTGTAATACTCAGCATGAAAAATAAAAATGAAGTGATATGTTTTGCTGCTATATTAAAAAAATTTATTAACGAAGGTGGTTGCTACACCAAATAATACTGAGGTTTACTTCATTTCTTCTAACGAAGAAGCGAACGTATTTTTAGTCCCGAATCCTTACTCATATGACAAACAACAGACTACTCTAAAAGACGTAATACTGAGGCCTGTCCTCAAGATATATGTAATAGAAATACATTCTGTATGAAAATACATTCGGAGTTGGTTACTTCATTCCGGTGCGCTAAAATACTGGTGACGATTTATTTTAATTTTAACGTATTCAACGAGAGCCAGTGAGACTAAGTTTTACTTTTTTTAGCCTTTGTAAATTGCTAACACATCCAGTTCAAATTGTCGGTGAATCAGCAGCCTTATTTATCTTTGTACTTTGCAAGGAAAACAGTAAGTAGATTCATTATGTTGTTAGCGATTTCACTTCAATAAATTATTATTCACTTTATATATCCTGTAACATTCCTTAACTAGCTATGTGCATTCCGATGGTTTTGTTTTAACTTTCAGTGTAGATAACTTTAAAACAGATTTTTGACAAGGTTTAAGAAATGTTTAAAGGAACCATGAAAGCTGTTTCGCTACCATACCGCTGTGCTTTAAAAGACCAGAATACAAACAACAAGTATATTGCTAACGAAATCAGGATTTCACCTGAAGTTTAATTACACATTGTCTTATTCTGTTATATATTCAGAAAATTTGCAAAATGGAATTAGTCATGTCGATTTTGGGATTTTTTGCATTATATACTTACGTCTGTTACTCCTCATGGAGAAACAGACGTCGCAAACAGCATTCGCCATTCAACTCTGTCCTAGGCAGTATATTCCAGTTGCTATTCATCCTTTTGATGTCGGCATTCAATTCTCGGAACAATGCGTTCTTCGACATTCCTCTTTACCACTTTCCCTTCAGAATTTCAAGTTGGCGCTTGCCTCGTAACTCAATTTGATGACTTCCGCAATGTACGTCCTAACTGTTTTGACGTTCACATTGAAGATTCTGACTTTGATATTGGTTGACAGTTGTTTTGAGTTCCATATGCTTTCCAACCGTAGGAATGCGACCCTTGCTTTGCCAATCCTCGCCTTTACGCCTGGATCAAACCCTCCTTGTTCATCGTTGATGCTGTTAAAGTTTTCATCTCTTGCAGAGTTTCTCCACCAAGTGTGATTGCATGGATGTTCTTCGTGTTGTATTCGAGGATCCTACATTTTCCTTGTGTATGCTGATGCCTACTGATGCAGAGACTGCTGCTACCTGCATTTGTTAGTGTGTATGGGATAGAAGATCTAGGTGGTCCGCGAAGTCCAAATCGTCTGGTTGGATCCGACCTGTTCATTTTATTCCGTGCTTCCTGTCAGATGTGGAGGTCTTCATAATCCAGTCAACCACCAGAAGAAAGAGAAAGGGAGAGAGTAAGCAGCCTTGTTTGTCTCCAGTCCTCATCTGGAATGTGTCGGTTAGCTGTCCACCGTGCATCTTTTTGCAGTGTAGTCTGTCGTATGAATGCCAGATGATAATATATTTTCAGTAAGAAGAAGATATTCGATATTAATGAGCGGATAAATAAAATAACTAACCAGGGAAAATAAAGTAAACCAGCGGAGGAAATCCTAATCATGTATTTACTACTATCTGTAAAAGAGTAGGCGGATAATTGTAGGGTTAGAAAGATTTTTTGAGTAGAACCTGAATAATCTTACTTCAGAAATCAAAGTACACTGGGAATTATTGAAAAAGAGAAATATTTCCAGGTCGAACAATTATGTAACTACAATATTTATTATGTACAGATTTCCATCGTGACTGTTTATCTCATCTGTTATATTGTTTTTTTCGTTGCTGTGTTTAAAACAGATTTCTCAGCCAATCGATTGATATATTTAAATAGTTTATAACAAGATATTCTGGGATTAATTATCATTATTATTTAACTTATTTAGTTGGGCGAGCAGTGAAATACACGGGCTTTGGAAATTTCGCTGGATTTTTAGCACGTCATGCTTTACTTGGGAAAACATCAAAGGTTAATAAAGAATCTAATTGTAATGTCGAGTCAGATGGTGAATATTCTGCTACATCGACGGAATCAGAAACGGAAGAATATAAAAAGTTGAAGGAAGATGTGAACCCTGTAACAGGTCGATGGGAAATCCCACAACCGAACCCAATGGAAAACATGTCTGAAGAACAAAAGGAATATCTTGCTATGGACTTAGTACAGAAAATCGACAAACTTGAGAGGTGAGTTACTGTAAACGTGATGGGTCAAAGTAAGATAAACCTTATGAAATAACTTATAAACCCATAGTTCTAAAAACCAAAGACGCTTTTTGGATTGATTTATATCCTAAAATATTGGTCCCATTTTCAGATCTGGATTAATTCAACCAGGAACTATCGGTGAAGATGGTCGAGTGAGGCCTGTAAAACATGTACTTGAACTTATTCAGACAAAAGAAGATGATCAAAAGTCAGACGAATCTGTAAACTAGGGAAGGATAGGTTGAAGAGCTTTTGTGTGTGCAATAAGGTTAGTGTATCAAAAACCGAAGTCTGTTTTGGACATCCACCAAAAAAACAACTGAATAATACAGGCCGTTGTGCATTTGATTGTTTTTTGAATTGCTTTGATGACAACTGTTGAATACAAAAATCAAAATTTTAATTTTACAAATGTGCTTCATCTTGATTCTCTTTACATTATAAAAACAGTGGGAAGTTAGAATGTAAAGACGTAAAAAACGCATTGTTTTAAAAAACAGTTACAACCTGGAGATGGTCAGTTCACAACCTGCTTACACAACCCCTAAAGACAACTTAATTTCTGCAACTGCACGAAGTTCCTTCAATCGATAGTCCGCTGGCAAGCCTAATTTAGTCATACAAACAAGTTGATGCTCTAGATAATTTAACGTGCCTTGTTCCTGATTTTTAATCATTTCATTTGTCGACAAATTTTGCTCGTCGTTCATGTTTTCCAAACAGCTAGCTGCAAGAAAGGCAGAAGTTAAATGTATACAAACGGCAGCCATTTCTGTGCGTACAACTCTGAAATAATAAAAAAAATGTAAATATTTAAAACCACAGGTCCCATCCACTAAACAAGAGAAACTGAACAGTCATATCATATTCCTTACCGAAAGGGAAAAGAATTTTAGCACTTAGTGCTTGTCAGATATGAAAGTCAATAGTCAATTAAGATTTCAATAATCACTTAATAAAAATGAACGTGGCTAAGCGTTTAAAATAAGTAGATAATGTTTATTAAATAAATGGACTATAGGAGGAAGATATTTACTCAATGCACGAGTCGCTTCAAGTGGTTAATAACATGTAGTAATAATGTATTGATTCGTTGTTGCGGGAAGAGTGACTTCTTATGGTATCACGTGTTTCATCAACCACAAGTTATTGTGAGTCGGAATATACTCGCAGTAATTGTTTACCTGCTTCCTTGATTTTCCTTGCAAAAGTATAACAGTATCGAATTGAGACATTAGTAGGCTTTTAACTCGCTACAATTGATTGATTGATAAGTACGGGTAAAAAACAAATCAATTTTGTTCCTTATTGACTACACCAGATAATCAAAGCAAAACGGAATGACATCCAGTTAAGTACAGATAGGCATCTCTTCGACGTGACTTGATATGATTAACCCCCAGGTCAAGTGGGACTACATATAAGATCATGCTATTGACGCAGAACCATGAAACTATTCCGAGTTTTTCGAATTGGATCAAAAAAAATTAAAGTGCCAACATGAATATGCGCAAATAATTGCAGAGAAATGGTGATGTCTTTCCGCAGATCTAAACACTAATCACAACATACTTTACTACAGTCACAGATCATAGCCTTGCGCTTATATGACAGGAATACGAAAATTTTCAGATCTAGTCATCGCTAAAACAAGAAACTCTAAGTACTACGGCGTGCCTCAGAAGATAGTCAATATCATACGGAATTCCTATGATGGATTAAACTGCAAAATTGTGCATGGAGGAAACTTGACAAACTCGTTCGAGAAAAAGACCGGTGTCAGGCAAGGTTGCTTACTCTCACCCTTCCTCTTTCTCCCGGTGATCGACTGGATCATGAAGACGTCAACATCTGAAGGGAAACGCGGGATACAATGGATACCTAGGATGCAGCTGGACGATCTAGATCTCGCAGATGATCTGGCCCTCCTATCGCAATCGCAACAACAAATGCAGGAGAAAACGACCAGTGTAGCAGCAGTAGGTCTCAATATACACAAAGGGAAAAGCAAGATTCTCCTATACAACACACCATGCACCAATCCAGTCACAATTGACGGAGAAGATTTGGAAGATGTAAAAACCTCTACATATTTGGGCAGCATCATTGATGAATGCGGTGGATCTGATGCAGATGTGAAAGCGCGGATCGGTAAAGCAAGAGCAGCATATTTACAACCGAAGAACATCTGGAACTCAAAACAACTGTCAACCAACATCAAGGTCAGGATTTACAATACAAATGTCAAGACAGTTCTACTGTATGGGACGGAAACCTGGAGAACTACGAAAGCCATCATCCAGAAGATACAGGTAAATCTACCTGAAGACGTTTGTGGCAGTATCCCCCTATAACTAAGCACTTATTTGACATCTGTGCTGCTCAGGACAGACATTGAACTTTTTAAACTGACTAATTGAGTCATAACAAAAATAACAGTAACAAGCAATCTCAACAAAGTTACACTGTGTGAAACCATCATTATAATAATCAAATAACTAACCAGAATAAAAAAATTAAACCAATAAAACTGCCTTCCGGGTTGAAGGCCCTTCTTTCAGAAGAATTATGACGCCTCAAGATGAAAGCTGATATCCTTCGGAGGACACGGAGCTGATAGCCCTCCTAACAACCAGAGCAAGAATTAACATAGGTACATGGAATGTTCCAAGTATTAATCTCCTGATTTCTCCTTTTTTCCTCTTTCCAAATTTATTTCACTAGATTATACTCCTTGAATAACATCTTCAAAACCTAATCTTTCCTATTACTGCTTATACCCTTACTACCTCTACGGGATTTGAATCGACAACTGCATTTCTGTGCTAATATGGTATGACAATTCGAACTGATGTACATACGTACGAAGTTCTACGTTGTTACTGACTGACTGAGATCACCACTTGGTTGTGGCCAAGATGAAACTGAAGCTAGCAAAGTAATGGACAACTGGAGAAACAGCATTACAAAGGTTCAATACAACATTCCTTCGATATACTGACAAACCCAACGAATTCAAGATTGCTCTCAACAACAGGTGGAAGCATTACAAGGTTTACTGAAAGAGGAAACTACTATGGAGGAAAATTAAAAAATGATAAAAGGAGCATTAACTTCGACATGACAGAAGGTTCTGAGACGCTAGAAGCATTGTCATAATGAAGGGTAACAGGTGTAAGTAAGTAAGCAACTTGCTACAGCTCCCGGTAGTATTTTTTCTTGCCGGAATTTTTAAAATTATTTTGTTGCTCAAAATTGTACTGTAAAAACAAACGAACAATCAAATAACAGCTTAATAACATCCCTAGTTATTGTTTAATTTATTTAAATGACAACTCACTTTTCAATAAATGAATTGATCTTCATTAAATTAATCTCTTCTGTTACACTGGGGACTTTTGACTTTAATTTCGTTAGAATCGATGCTAAATTATCTAGTTTAGTTAAATCAGTATCTTCTTTCAATTTTTTCTTGCTAGGACTATACAATACACTATCTAGTAGTGATGATTCTTTGCAAAAATTTGTAAGTTCATCTACTAGGCAAAGTAATTCACCGAAAGATCGATAAACACCAACGCCTTCGAAAAAAAGAGCATAAAATTGTCATGTATGCAATAATTAAGTATTTTTCATTGTAAAGATGGTTACAGGTAAAAAACTACAGATATTTCTATTCAACGTGTTAATTTATCAAAACTGAACCAACTTTACAATCTGCGCTATTCTTTTTTACAAACAATATACATGAAGATGTAAAATGTTACTAAAAGTTATATCTAAAAACGCAGATAGTCATGTTTAGACATTATATATCTTGATGGTATGAACGTTTGGAAACAGATCGATTTTAATGAGAAATACTTTTTTAAAACTATTTCCCTTCTACTAACTTTGTCAGTATATCGTACAAACAGTTTTCTAATAAATTTAGTCAGAAAAACAAGTACGATAGTATGATTACGGCGCATAAAATAACTGAAGTTATTACATAACAATTAGCGAATAAATATTCAACTACTTACCTGAATGAAAATCACTTGGTAAACAATTTTCTGCTAAGGAATTATAGGGCTCAAGCAAGCGAGCAATACGATGACCTAGTGCAGAGTATACTGATTCGAATCTTAGCTGAAAAGCTGAGTAAGGTGAAATATTCGTATGTAAAATAAGCTCCGGTAGTATATACTTTGATAAAACTTCATCTGCAGCTTGAATACGTCCAGCAGCAAACCAATGACTTGCTTCAAGCATTGCAAATGTACAAAACTGGCTACGATCTTCCGTAGAGTTTAAAGTACGTTGTTGTGAAACAGTATTGAAACCTGTTTTACGCAGGTAGGCTTTTAAGCGATGTCTTGCTAATATAGCCTGAAACGAAATATTTATGGTTGAAAATGATCTAATTTCTGATGAATAATACTACTATTAATAGGTTTCAATGTTGAAATGCATATACTCAGAATGTATTTAAAATTTACTTATGAAAGGTGGAAATCAAGCGTATATTTCATACAGAAAACAATCACCAATTAGAGATATTTGTTTCGGTTTCTACAAAAATATTTAATATTCCAGGTTTTTCATGGTGGTCTAGCTTCAATTGACTCATGGTTTCAACCAGTGAAAAATATTCAAGTCAAGTTTGTAATAAAGCTGTGACCTGCTAATAAGATTTTTATTCGTTATTATACAACCACTGTAACATATGACTGTTGAAAATTGCTAACCTTAAAAGACTACAGGAGTTTATGTACACAGCCTAATACAACTGTATGTATATACATCCTGATAAAAGTGGATCTGAATGATAAAAAGATTTCTACTTGAATGTTGGATATGTTTACTATCTCTACACAACCTTTCTCCATTAAGGTATACATATCAATTACCATTAATTAAGTAATATAACCTCACTGTTTTGTATCCTTAAAAAGTAATTTTTAGCTTATAGCTGTTAGCCTAATTTAACATAATTTCTCTATGGGAGTTTTGGGATTATGATGCAAGGAGCAAATTAAAACAACCGAGGCAGTTGTTTTCGTCGATTTTAACAATTCTTTAATTGGGATCAATTCGCATAGATGAATATCAATCGCATACAGCATGAATTATATATATATATATATATATATATATATATATATATATATATATAATATTTTAGACATCAAATCTACCTTTGCTTCGTGAATCCAATGAACAGGAACGCCCAAACGATTAACCACAAACGATTCAGGTTTAGTTAACGATGGTGTAGGTAGTAAAGAGATTTTATGTGACATGAAGTCTATATCCGACAAACAAGACGAAGAATTTTTATTGGAATTATTCAAAAGGCCTGAAGGCAAAACTAACGATACATGTCGACCGATGAGACATTTTACAGATGCTTCTCGAGTTTTCTCACAATCTATATGAAGCAGTACAAAAACTGACCATTCCCATAGACCTGCAGCTTCTAACTGTG